AGAAATTTAAATCACTACATTTTTTTAAAAATTGATCCTTAAGGTCAAGGTGGAGCTAATCCAGCTGATGTTGCAGATGCAATGATCAGTGCAGTTGTAGAATTTGCAAGCAAAAAAACAGATCATGTAAAAAATGTGGAGTTCCTTATATTCCAGTCAAGTATGTTGGCTGACTTTCAGCAAAGCATGCTAAAAACTACCAAGTCAAAGAAAAGCTTGACTAGCAGGATTAAAGGTCAGTAAATAAAAAAGGAATATGAAAAAAAAATTATACTTGTGTCTGACTAAATTATACTTTTAACCTTTTATTTATTTATTTGTTTTGAACAAAAGGTGAAAAAATGTTGTTTAAAGAAATCGAGCCTGCTGTGTTTCAACTATGTAGTGAGACAACAGAGTGTTTGAGTAAGGCCAGTCCCATCATCAACGGCTTGATTAACAAGGAGCAAATGAATAAAACAATCTGTGATCCAGTCATTGCTCATTTCACCAAAAAGGAATTAAAAATGCTAAGGAAAATGGAAAAGGAGCTCAAAGTAAATGTCATAATTGAGAAGAAAGAACAAGACTCCTTCATCACATTGAAGGGCCTGACAGCATTCGTTTACACTGCAGAAAGTCGTATTCAGGACATTATCCGCAAAGTGGAAAGGATTGAAAACCGAAAAAGGGTGGCAATATTGACCAGCAGTACAGTTGAATGGCAATATCAAAGTGGTCGCAAATTTAAACCATTTGATCCTTTCACCAACTGCGACTTGGAAGAAGCCTTCATCTCCCAAACGACTTCTGTGCAAATCAAGATTAACAGTGAAGTGTATAATGCAGACATAGTTTACAAAGTGGCCACAAGAGGAGGAAAACGAATTGAACTAAAGAGAGTACAACTGAAAGCTGAGAAATACAAATGCACATGAAACATCGTAGTTATGAATAAAAGGTCACCAAAACAAATATTTATTTATTTAACTTTTTCAGCTTCTTTGCCTTCAAACTGGGAGGACATGAAAGGACAGTCAGTTGTTCTTATAGAACTCAAAGCAGGCTCACAGGAATTTACAGATGTGGAAAAAGAGTTCAGAAAAACTGGACTATCCAGCAACATCATTAAAGTACGTCTATTACATGTATTTGACCCAAACTTATACAACTAATCACAGTAATTTTGTACCGTCATGTAATGATTGCTTAAGCAGAATGTTTATTTTTGTGTTCTGCACAGATTGAACGAGTCCAGAACTGCGCACTTTGGAGAAACTACATGATCAAAAAGGAGGAACTGGAAGACAAAAACAAGCACAAAAACAATGAAAAGTGTCTCTTCCATGGAACTGGCCCTCATACGACCGATCAGATAAACAATCAGGGGTTCAATCGCAGCTTTGCTGGCATGAATGGTATAGTTAACATATACCATAATCTTTTCCGAATAAAAAGTGTTGTGTTTGTATTTAGGATTATTTGTTTCTGTTATTAGGAGCCATGTATGGGAATGGTACATATTTTGCTGTGGACCCGTGTTACTCAGCAAAAGGCTACTGTAAAGCTGATGCCAACGGACACAAACGCATGTACCTCGCCAAAGTGCTTGTTGGTGAATTCACTAAAGGAAAAAAAGGCCTTCGTACTCCTCCAAAAAGGAGTTCAAAAGGTGTTCATCTTTATGACAGTGTGACAGATAAAACTAAAAACCCATCCATGTTTGTGGTCTTCAATGATGTGCAAGCTTACCCAGAATACTTAATCACATTCCAGAAAAAATGAAATTTTACAGTTTAGTTCAATCAGAATTGAGATGAATTAATGTGCATTATTGCCATGCAGTTACAATCTATTTTTATTCAACTTTCAGTGATGGGCAGAAGGGCAACACTATTTTTGAAATCATTCACAGCTTTTGACTAGTGAAAATGTATGTAATTGATTAAGTACCCAGACAACATTGTGAAACACTACAACGTTATACAATGCTACTTCTCGAAAAATATTTTAAATGTATGAAAATGAATGTAAAAACTTCTGATATGCAAAAAATATATATATATAAAGTATGAGAAAACACATAAAATGCACATTTGTGTTAAAGGTGTTTTGGTTTGACAGTATGCAATGAGGTAATGTGACTTTGTTAATTTATCTCCTCATCAACCAGAATTTATGCACTGCAGTTAATTTCTTAATATGGCTTAATATTGTTTTTGTAATGTAATGTAATATGTAATAATAACCCTAAAGTGATTTACAAATTCTTACAGTTTTCATGTTATATGAAAAATGTACATTGCCAGAGATCCTTTAAATTAGATGCAACCATTTTATCATACTCTATAGACTGCATTATGATAACAAGGATGTTCTCAAACTGAAAACGGATGGTTTTACATTCTTACTTACTTACTTTTTAAGTATTGCATAGAACGGCATAGCCATAGATTCAATAGGTTAAGGAAAATTCATGTCCTGAACATTATCAGAGCAGTATTATGTATTTTTTACCCATAATACATTTAGGAATTTTAAGTTACATTTGTATATTGTTGAGTCTGATATTGTTATTGATCAATCTCCAGCAAGCCATTCTTATCAATGTTTTTTTTAGCATACTTGATGAAATATGTATTCACTGCAGTGTGAGATGAGTTCAGGTCAGTCCAGGTGAGTTTTCATTACTGGTGCAAAATATATGAATCTGTTCATTTAAAAGGGGTGGACAAACGGCAGTTCCCCCTGATTGCTACGTCTACAGCAGAGCAGCTGTCCGCATGCCCGACGGAAATCCCGGTTTAAGGCTGGGTAAAGAATAGGATTCAGAGCAGAGTTGAGGTATCCCAACCAAAGAACAATAGAGTGGGTCAGTTTGTTTGGGTGGGTCTCTGCCCACATACCCATGCATGTGAAGTAGGTGAAATAGGGAAACCAACAAATGACAAAGGCACCAAGCACTGCGGCCAGGGTCACCGTGGCTTTGTGTTCCCGTGCAGTGGCAACTGCGTTTGCAGCCTGCGCAAATGAAGGAGTGGTTGCACGTATACGCCGCACCTAAAAGTGAGACATGAAGAGAGAGTGATAAAGGGAACATTGCATCTTTCTTTTTCTGAGGGAAAAGATGTAGTGGGTGTACAGATGAGATAATAATAAACCTTATTCTAAATTTAATTTATTAATTTATTCATTCATTTACCTACCTCGCAATCACTGTCATGTCATTGACTTGGAGAAACATACCTGTTCACGTGCAACACAGAATATACGATGGTACATTCCACACATGACCAGCAGAGGGAGGTAGAAGATTAAAAAGGCTTTCAGCAGCACATAATTATTACTCCATTCATAGCGGCAGGTCCTGCCTTCCTCTCCTTCATCCCACATGTCCCAGTCCAGGTTCTGTACTCTGAAGTCAGGTGCGTTCCAGCCTAGGTTAATAGACACAAAGGACACTGCCAGAGAGCACGTCCAGATCGCAGTCAGAGTGATCCCCACCCGACGAGGTGTGACCCTCCTGGGATAGCAGAAAGGGTTAGAAATGACAAGGTAACGATCAACACTAATGGCCAGTAGGGTGAGGATTGAAGCACTGCAGAGCATCACATCCAGAGAGATGTAGATATTGCAAAAAACACCCCCGAGAAGCCATCTCCCATTGTGTAATTCCAGCATGGCAGAGAGTGGAAGTACCAGCAAACCCAGCAGCAGGTCTGTCACAGCCAGTGAGAGTATAAAACAGCTACTAATCTGGTGCAGACGCCGACTGGTGGCCACAGCCAGACAAACCAGCACGTTTCCACAAATAGTCAGTGCGATGAAGGCCACCAGTACCACCCAGCGCAGGGCAGTGAGCAACATTGTTAGCTTCTGAAACAGGAAAGTTTGGAGATTTTTGTTCAGGTAGTCAGAGTAATTTCCAGAGTAGTTCAGTCAGGACTCCACGTGTCATCCGTTTACTCAAACATTACATTAGGTGCTATAAAAATGCCATAATATGAACATCTGTGGTCATCAGCTCAGGTTCATTCCTACAAGAAAAAGAATATGGTTACAGAAAAAAAAGTCTGATAAGCAGTCATTTGGGTAAATAACTTAGAGCCTTTAGGAAATGTGAAATGTATAATATTTAAAATGTTACAATACTTACTATCTTCGTTTAAAATGCAAATACAACTGAATATAAACTGGAAAGGGCACTCATTTGCTTGAGATTAGCTTAAAATTCCTCACTCTTCCTGCATGGCAACACTGACTCAATGGCACAAGTTTAGGGTGGGGCTATTTGTTTTGACTAACCAATAGTAGATGGTAGCATTGTTTGGAAACCATTTTTGAAAACAATCATTCTTTTTTGACTAATTAGATGATAGACATATTAATCAGAGGTTTTAGCAACCTAGGCTGATTTGAAAAAAAAGGGCTTAAAAAACCAGACAATAAAAAACCAACAACTTTTATTCCCTTTCCCTTTCAAAATTATGATTAAAGGGCAAATTATCAATTAATAAAGACTCATTTTCATGCGGTTTCTTGTACAAAACTGTTATGACAATTTTAGCATAGTGCATGATTTGAATATATATATATACAGTGGGTACGGAAAGTATTCAGACCCCCTTAAATTTTTCACTCTTTGTTATATTGCAGCCATTTGCTAAAATCATTTAAGTTAATTTTTTTCCTCATTAATGTACACACAGCACCCCATATTGACAGAAAAACGCAGAATTGTTGACATTTTTGCAGATTTATTAAAAAAGAAAAACTGAAATATCACATGGTCCTAAGTATTCAGACCCTTTGCTCAGTATTTAGTAGAAGCACCCTTTTGATCTAATACAGCCATGAGTCTTTTTGGGAAAGATGCAACAAGTTTTTCACACCTGGATTTGGGGATCCTCTGCCATTCCTCCTTGCAGATCCTCTCCAGTTCTGTCAGGTTGGATGGTAAACGTTGGTGGACAGCCATTATTAGGTCTCTCCAGAGATGCTCAATTGAGTTTAAGTCAGGGCTCTGGCTGGGCCATTCAAGAACAGTCACAGAGTTGTTGTGAAGCCACTCCTTCGTTATTTTAGCTGTGTGCTTAGGGTCATTGTCTTGTTGGAAGGTAAACCTTCAGCCCAGTCTGAGGTCCTGAGCACTCTGGAGAAAGTTTTCGTCCAGGATATCCCTGTACTGCATCCATCTTTCCCTCGATTGCAACCAGTCATCCTGTCCCTGCAGCTGAAAAACACCCCCACAGCATGATGCTGCCACCACCATGCTTCACTGTTGAGACTGTATTGGACAGGTGATGAGCAGTGCCTGGTTTTCTCCACACATACCGCTTAGAATTAAGGCCAAAAAGTTCTATCTTGGTCTCATCAGACCAGAGAATCTTATTCAGGTGTTTTTTAGCAAACTCCATGCAGGCTTTCATGTGTCTTGCACTGAGGAGAGGCTTCCGTCTGGCCACTCTGACATAAAGCCCCGACTGGTGGAGGGCTGCAGTGATGACTTTCTACAACTTTCTCCCATCCCCCGACTGCATCTCTGGAGCGCAGCCACAGTGATCTTTGGGTTCTTCTTTACCTCTCTCACCAAGGCTCTTCTCCCCCGATAGCTCAGTTTGGCCGGACGGCCAGCTCTAAGAACTACCACATTTTGCTATAAGTTTGATTGCATCATATAATAATTGCTGTTAATATTATTCATCGTCTGTTTTATTACGTCTTATATTGATTTTTCTGTACTGCTGGTTCGTCTGGTCAGAGGAGAACTGGCCCCCCGACTGAGCCTGGTTTCTCCCAAGGTTTTTTCTCCATTCTGTCACCGATGGAGTTTTGGTTCCTTGCCGCTGTCGCCTCTGGCTTGCTTAGTTGGGGACACTTAATTTCCAGTGATATCGTTGACTTGATTGCACAGATACTATTTAAACTGAAATGAGCTGGACAATGACATCACTGAATTCAATGATATTTGCTCTGACATGCACTGTGAGCTGTAAGGTCTTATATAGACAGGTGTGTGGCTTTCCTAATCAAGTCCAATCAGTATAATCAAACACAGCTGGACTCAAATGAAGGTGTAGAACCATCTCAAGGATGATCAGAAGAAATGGACAGCACCTGAGTTAAATATATGAGTGTCACAGCAAAGGGTCTGAATACTTAGGACCATGTGATATTTCAGTTTTTCTTTTTTAATAAATCTGCAAAAATGTCAACAATTCTGTGTTTTTCTGTCAATATGGGGTACTGTGTGTACATTAATGAGGAAAAAAAAATTACTTAAATGATTTTAGCAAATGGCTGCAATATAACAAAGAGTGAAAAATTTAAGGGGGTCTGAATACTTTCCGTACCCACTGTATATACACATTTTGACGTTTACATCACAAACCCATCTCCACATCTAGGCTTTTCTGGTGTAGTAAACTTGCTTAGTAGCTCACCTGGTACAGCATTGCACTTGTGGTGTGCTTGGGTATAAGTTGGAATAAAACAGCTCAAAACTTGTAGACACAAGCTAAAATTACATGGCTGCTTAAAAAAATGCATTTTTATTTTTTGTTTACTCTTGTAAATGCCATTAGTTTAGGGTAGTGTTTAGTGTAACTGTTACATAATTTTTAGTCATGATAGAGCATTACCTTTTAGTGCCACACACCAGACATTTAATTCCGAACTGCCGTGTTATGTACAACAATAAAACGTAATAAAACATTGCCAGATTCATATGCAGTTTTAGCTCCACTCACT